GGGGGGAGGAAGAAGAGAAAGAGAGACGCAACAAAGGAAGCGGAGATTGCTCGGCGTCGCGTCGCGTTGTGCAGCGTCGCGTCGCGTCGCGTCGTGTCGCGTCGCGTCGGTTCGAGGGCAAATCTAGTAAGCTAGGACAGGAGCTATTAATAACTGTTTAGGGTGCCGTACCTGGCCGCCGCGCGGTGCTTTCGGCGCGTTCGCGTCTCGATACGCGCGTCTCGACGACCGGCGTCTCAGTGTCGTCGCGACGATCAACGTTGTATCCATCGTTCCGCTATCGATGGACTAGGTCGCGTACAATCTTAGCGAACAGGCTGCGGCTCAATTCAAGACCCGAATCGTCATTCGAACGGCATCCACCTACCTACTTATCTACGTAACCGCGCGCGCATTCGACGTCGTTAACAGCTAAGCGACGAGAGTGGATGTTTGCACTACAAGACAGAACTCGTTGAGTATTCGCTGCCATCGTAATCACGCCAGCGTTACAGTGGGCTCCGCCGCCTGTTCAAAATTATCCGGCTCGGTTCGCCGGATACTCAACCGTCGAAATGGCGGAGCAACCTTCCCTAAAAGATATGGGGAAGCTGTATCACGTGTGCTTTATATAACGCCAAATACTCGCGATTCGTACGGACTCGTGCTATACGCGTTAGTTTTGCTAATCGTTTATTCTTGCATCTTCTTTGTGAAATAGCAGTCGTTATTCTCCTCTTCTTCTTTTCCATGCGCGTCGGATCTACAGTCGCATATAATGTGTTATTCACCGTAAAAGTAGTGTGTGGTGGCTGTTACGAATGTGACTTTTTCCACTTTATTACGACTCGTCTTTCGTTTGCTATTAGTAAGTGGAGAATTTCGAATTGCGGAGAGTTTCTATAGAGAGAGCGGGCACAGTCAGTAAAAGTCGCGTTATTCTACTCGGTGCACATTGAAGCGTTTTGTCGGTTGTGTGATAGACCTCTTCGAATGAATTCGCGCCATACAATATTGCGCGAGTAAGTACAGAAGAGGAGGAGGAGAAGGAGAAGGAGAATTTGGAGACGGTGGTGGCGGAAGAGGAGAAGGAGGAGGTGACGGACTCTAATTTGGGTTCGCGAATCGCTCGTACCTGACAATGGTACGTTTTCCGTGTGACCATCGTTTTCCGGGAGTGATTCACCTTGCGCTTCTTCCTGCTTGGCTGCTCGTCGGTTTTTGGCATGGATTTTCTCGCTCGTGAAAAGTAACTTACTTGAAAGTAAAAACAAGCATAGATAATGACACGTTGAAATCGTTTTTCTTAGCTTTCGCTTGTATATACCTTTTCCACAAATACACACACACACACACACACACACACACACACACACACACACACACACACACACACACACACACACACACACACACACACACACACACACACACACACACACACACACACACACACACACACACACACACACACACACACACACACACACACACACACACACACACACACACACACACACACACACACACACACACACACACACACACACACACACACACACACACACACACACACACACACACACACACACACACACACACACACACACACACACACACACACACACACACACACACACACACACACACACACACACACACACACACACACACACACACACACACACACACACACACACACACACACACACACACACACACACACACACACACACACACACACACACACACACACACACACACACACACACACACACACACACACACACACACACACACACACACACACACACACACACACACACACACACACACACACACACACACACACACACACACACACACACACACACACACACACACACACACACACACACACACACACACACACACACACACACACACACACACACACACACACACACACACACACACACACACACACACACACACACACACACACACGTCCCAATATTTTAGTTACGCGTTTTTCCAACGTGTTATTATTTTTGCAGTATGCGATGATCGCGATCACACGAGTGTTTAACGTTTCTGATTTTCGTTGGCCTCCGAAAATAACAGCGTTTCATACACAGACGGATGAACGTATAAAGGTGCGTCCGCAAAACGTCCGTAAGCGACGCTCTCTCAACTCCTATTTGCGTTCGTTTTCTCGTTGTGTCACTCGTGTATACGTACAAGTTTATTTGTTCGTTTGTTCATTCGACAAGCCGTGCACTCGACGCGGGAAAAACGTTAACCGATGTATCGTACGCGAAGGAAGCCGGGTACGCACAGACACACTTTTCCTTTCATTCCTCTTCCTCTTTCGTCGCGCGATTCGTTCAAACAGTTCGATATCGCTAGCGCATACATGATCGCAGGCGGCTCCGATAGTCGAGATTTGAGTCGCTTACTTTCGTAAGCGAAAGTTGCGAGGAGATATTTAGGATCTTTTTGAGCATTTTATGAAAAAATAGCTACTCATTGCTAAAAGTTGCTGAAAGGAATAGCGCTTCTTCGCGGTCGGATCCAGAGAATAGTTGATCGCCGAGTGAATGCCAAAACAACTCCACGTGGTAGCGTGGTCCGTAAAAGTTACGCTTACGTGCCAATGTCGAACGATTGACAGACAGTTGACATAGAAGGACGTGTACTTTCGATTATCACAGTGCCAGTGTTAAAAGTGGGGATGCTTAAATCTGTCGAATAATTGGAAAGTACGAAAAGAAAAAAGGAAAGAAGGAGTAAGAAATGTGTACGGTTGCGCGAGTCAAGTATTAGCTCGAAGAATTTGACTCGCGATGCGCGCTCGAACGCCTTTACAAATCTTGGAAGCCAAACAGCGAGCGAAAAGCAGCTGATTGTTTCTGTTGAGGACAAGTCCGGCTGGTACAGATGAGGCTGCGAATGATTCGTAACTGCGGACTGGAGAGGAGTATATCGAGGTATTCGCAATCGTTACCGCGAGGATTGCTGTTTCTGACGGCTGGACGCTGACAAGAGGGGCGGACAAACAATAGTGTGTTACAGCAGCTGCAGTGTTTGCCAATATTCGATGGTTCGTTTGTGTTCTTTAACAGTTTATTCCAAGCATTTGCGGTGCGCTCGCGACGCGAGAATTTGTCCATGTTCTATGAATATAGAAAATATAGAAGAATATTGACGCACAAACAGAGAGAGAGAGAGAGAGAGAGAGAGAGAGAGAGAGAGAGAGAGAG